TTGCTGGCTGTGGCCTTGGGCCCTGGGGTGCCTGTTTTCGGGAAGTGGCCTTGGCCCTGGGTTCCTGCGGGGACGGTGTTTTGGAGGGTTTGGAAGGTTTTGGAGGGTTTTGGAGGGTTTAAGAAGGGTTTTGGCAGTTTTGGAGCGTTTTGCAGGCGGGCAAACGGCAGCTTGAAAGCCCTAGAAAGCCATTGCTGGGCCTTGGGCCCTGTGGTGCCGGTTGGGGAAGAGTGGCCTTGGCCCTGGGGTGCCTGCTGGGACCAGGTGTTTGGAGAGGTTCGACTGTTTTGGAGCGCCGGAGGGTTTGGAGGGTGTGGGGGTTTTGGAAGGTTTTTGTGAGGGTGTTGGAGTGTTTGGAGGGTTTTGGAAGCGTTTGGAGAATTTTTGGAGCGTTTGGAGTGTTTTGCGGGCTGGCAACCGGACAGCTTTTAAGCCATAGAAAGCCATTGCTGTGGCCTTGCCCTGGGGTGGCCTGAATTGAGAAGTTGCTTTGGGCCCTGGTGGCCCTGTTGGGGAAGGTGTGTGGAGGTTTGGAGGGTTTTTGGAGGGTTGGAGTGTTTTGTGAAGGGGTTGAGGGGGGGAGGGAGGGGGACAAGGTTTTGGAGGTTTTGGGGAGGGTTTTTGGAGGGTGTTTGTAGGTATTGGAGGATTGGATCTTTTTTGGAGGGTTTTTGAGGGTTTTTGAGTGTTTGTGGGCTGGCAACGGCAGCTTTGAGCCAATCAGAAAAGCCCATTGCTGTGGCCTTGGCCCTGGGGTGCTGGTTTTAGAAGTGCTTTGGCCCTGGGTGCCTGTTGGGGGAAAGGTGTTTTGAGGGTTTTGAGGGTTTTGGAGGGTTGCGGGTTTTGTTGTGGAAGATTTGTGGAGGTTTGGAAGGTTTGGAGGTGTTTTTGGAGGGTGTTTGAGGGTTGGAAGGTTTTGGAGAGTTTTTTTGGAGGAGGGTTTGGAGAGTTTTGGATGGTGTTTGGAAGGGTTTTTGAGGCGTTTGGAGAAATTTTTGGAGCGTTTGGAGTGTTTGCGGGCTGGCAAACGGCAGCTTTTGAAAGCCAATAGAACGCCAGTGTGCTGTGGCCTTGGCCCTGGGTGCCTGATTGAAAAGGGCCTTGGCCCTTGGGTGGCCTGTTGGGGGAAGGTGTTTTGGAGGGTTTGGAGGGTTTTGGGGGTGTGTTGGAGGGTTTTGACGGGGTTGAGGTTTGAAGGTTTTGGAGGGGGGTTTAGAGGGTTTTGGAGGGTTTTGGAGGGTGTTTTGTAGGGTTTGATGCCCTTTTGGAGCGTTTGGAGGGTTTTGGAGGTTTTGGGCTTCCTCTATTAATTTAACTAGCAGGGCATCTAGCAATTTTAAAAAGTGTTTGCGGGCTGGCAAACGGCAGCTTTGAAAGCCCATAGAAAGCCATTGCTGTGGCCTTGGCCCTGGGGTGCCTGTTCGGGAAGTGGCCTTGGCCCTGGGGTGCCTGCTGGGGACGGTGTTTGGAAGGTTTGGAAGGTTTTGGAGGGTTTGGAGGGTTTGGAAGGTTTTGGCAGTTTGGAGCGTTTGCAGGCGGGCAAACGGCAGCTTTGAAAGCCCATAGAAAGCCATTGCTGTGGCCTTGGCCCTGGGGTGCCTGTTGGGGAAGTGGCCTTGGCCCTGGGGTACCTGCTGGACAAGGTGTTTGGAGCGTTTGGACGGTTTTGGAGAGCGCCCGGAGGGTTTGGAGGGTTTTGGAGGGTTTGGAGGGTTTGGAGGGTTTTGGAGGGTGTTTGGAGTGTTTGGAAGGTTTTGGAGCGTTTGGAGGGTTTTGGAGCGTTTGGAGTGTTTGCGGGCTGGCAAACGGCAGCTTTGAAAGCCAATAGAAAGCCATTGCTGTGGCCTTGGCCCTGGGGTGCCTGATTGAGAAGTGGCCTTGGCCCTGGGGTGCCTGTTGGGGAAGGTGTTTGGAGGGTTTGGAGGGTTTTGGAGGGTTTGGAGGGTTTTGAAGGGGGTTGAGGGTTTGGAAGGTTTTGGAGGGTTTTGGAGGGTGTTTGGAGGGTTTGGAGGATTTTGGAGCGTTTGGATGGTTTTGGAGGGTTTGGAGTGCTTGCGGGCTGGCAAACGGCAGCTTTGAAAGCCCATAGAAAGCTGCTGTGGCCTTGGCCCTGGGGTGCCTGTTCGGGAAGTGGCCTTGGCCCTGGGGTGCCTGCTGGGGACGGTGTTTGGAGGGTTTGGAAGGTTTTGGAGGGTTTGGAAGGTTTTGGCAGTTTGGAGCGTTTGCAGGCGGGCAAACGGCACCATAGAAAGCCATTGCTGTGGCCTTGGCCCTGGGGTGCCTGTTGGGGAAGTGGCCTTGGCCCTGGGGTGCCTGCTTTGGAGGGTTTTGGAGGGTGGTCCGACAGGACAAGTTCCACACCTGCGGTGGTCCCAGGCGCCGCCCCGGCCTTGGCGAAGGCCGGGGTCGGCGGATTTTTGGGGTTCACATGTTCGGAAAAGCTCATTTGAGGATCTGTTCATGATGAAGCTTCTCTTGTCGCCAGGGAGTGGGACGGCAAGTACGGCCCTACCTACCTGGTGTTGGATTTGTTGCAGAAGGTCTTCTACACCTCCGATGCGGCCAGGGAGAGCTTCGTGGAATTGTGCGAGGAGGAGTACGTGCAGAAGGTCACCTTCGAAACTTGGCCGTGACGTCACCGTGACGTGTTCAAGAAAACAACCTGATCTTGAATGATCTTGATAGGAAGATCCAATGCACGTTGGTATCACGTTGGTAAGTAGCATTTGGAGAATCAGCTTAAGTTTCATTCTCCACCAGGCCTATGAGGTCTTAACACCTTTAAACAGAATTTCCAACTCCTTTTCAGTGGTCCATTCGCCAGTGGCCGAGTGCTCAAGTTGCCATGCTCGCTGAGCTGTTCCCACCGGGTCCTGGCACGGCCCGCCCGGCTAGCACGGCCAGCACGGCCACGGCCGCAACACCCAAGGTGGTGTCGCCCAGGCCCTACCATGGGCAGCTGTGCACTCCTGTGCTGTGCTTGGTGGCCGCTAGGGCCGCTGGAAGGGGTAAAAGGGCCCAAAGAAGGGCACAAGCACAGAGAGGAGTAGATGTTTGGCGCAGCTTGCCAGGGGAAATTCCCAAAAACATGGATGTGATTTTGCGAAATCGCTACAATGATGTGGTCTTAGAAGAGCTGGACGACCTAGACTTGAGCCCATTTCGCACCCTAGCAGTGATCCGTCTTCCAATCCAATGGGTACCTCAAGTTGGACAGCTTCGGCGACAAGTCTTTCGTCAAGGCTCAACGCAGCACTTGGCCCTGAAGTTTGCTTTGGAAGAACATGGGGGCTTCCTGGGCATTGCGGTGGACATCCCACAAGCCACCTATCTTCCGCGGGGATGTGTTGGAGCTGAAGTGGTCCAACTGTCATTTGAGGAGGATTTGGTGCATGCCACTCTGCGAGGCGTTAGCATGCTTCGCATCATTGATAGGGTGAAGATGCCAGATGATCATGGCATACGAGCACCTCTGATGCAAGAGGTGTTGGAGTACACAGACTTAGAAAGGAAGGAGGGTATGGAGGTCTTGCTAGAAGAGACCAAGAAAGTGGAGAAGCTCTTCGTTCACTGTGGCCAGTTGCAGAAGGAGACTGGCATCTTTGCTGCGGGGGATCTGTCCAAAACACCTCTAGGGACCCTGGTGCAGGCTGCCTCAGAAAACTTGGCTGATGTGAACCTCTGTGGTGTCCGGCAGGAAGAGCACCGCGGCCCCGTGGTGGCAAGTCATGCTGCTGTCTTTGCATTTGGCGTGCAGAAACAGGCTGACTTCCTTTGTGATCCTTTCTCGGCCCTTCGCCGTCTTCGTACTCTGCGTAGATTTTTGAATCTCATGGACCGGGTGCTGACTCCGAAGTTGCATGCTTGAAGCGTCAGCCAAGGGGACACTGCATAGACTGTCGCACTTGGGGAGAAAATGAGGGGTGCCAGTATTGATCAGGCTGCGGGGTTTAGTGTCAATCAGACGATCCCTGCAAAAGAGATGGGTTTCAGATATTTCAGCTTGTACCATTTATGACAGACAGCATTTGGAGATATCATTTGGGTTAGGTTGTCCTCCCAAACCCCAAGCCTCAACGCATCTCAGTGCATCTGCTTCGATTCTAAGGACTCCTACCTCTACAAGACCGTGCAAGGCAATGACCCCATGGGTGATCTGAAGCTGGGATGGAAAACCTTGAGCTCCCTGTACAAGTTCAACAATCAGAAGACCCCCGATCCCATGCGAACTTTGGCATAGGCCAACGGGGGCCCCCACTGGGGAAGCCGACCCACCAAAGGATCCCAAAAAGGCCAGCTTTGTAGCTGCGTGGGCCGATATTCAAAAAAAGTGACGTCACTTGGTTGGCAAAGTTGCCATCCACAAACAGTACCCCTGTTGGTATGCTGACTCCCTCTGCGGTTGAGTCGGCCTTTTTCCCCTTTATAATGAAGAGGGGCGTGAACCAACGCACCTCATCAAACCTGTGATGCGATGCTTAGCCAAAAATGCGGCAGTTGAGTTGAGATGTCTTGAGAATTCAGGTGTGAATGCTGTTCTGTCGTTGCATTACCAACCCACATACGGTCACATACGTGTATGATCATGTATGCATAGATGGATGTTATATATATATATATAATATACAATTACATGCGCGCATGCATACATACATGATTACGTATAGATATACACATCATTTCACACAAACACACACACACATAATAGATCAACAGACAGATAAATAGACAGATAAAAATACAATATCATGTACATATGTATTGGTTTACACACACATCACACACATTACACACACACACATTACACACACACACATTACACACACATTACACACACATTACACACACACACATACTGTATATATATATACTGTATATATATATATACTGTATATATATATATACATACACAGTACATATAATATATATATATATGTATATTACATTTAAAAATATGTGCAGCATCGAGGTCACGGTGACACTAATCTCTCCCTTGCCAGGCGCAACTCGAAGCCTTGGAAGTGAAGCCCGAGAAGCCCATGGATAGGATGGGGCCAGTTGCCTTATGGCTGGTTAAACCATGGATGATTTGGTGAAGAAATGCTTAGTGAAACCTAATCTTAGAGCATGGATGATATTAATGAATATTAATGATGGATATGATATGATATGGTCAACTGGAGTCAACTGGTGACTATGTGTAGATACCATTAGTGGGTTTCATTTTCCAGATTTGAAACAGATTGAGCATTGATCCCCGGCGAACTCTTCCAGCCATGGGATGCCATGGGTGAGAGTCTCCACACCAGGAGCTGATTGATCTTATCATAAGATGATTATTAATATGGGTAACCCAATGACATATCAGAAATGGGATGGTTTAAACTTCATATCACCCCATTTATGGTGACTTGGGGATGGTTTATGATTGAGTTTGCCACATTTATGGTGTCTTGGGGATGGTTTATGATTGAGTTTGCCACATTTATGGTGACTTGGGGATGGTTTATGATTGAGTTTGCCACATGATTGTACCGCATTGGCCAGATTTTTTGTTGAAGATTGATGACGATTGCTGAAGTCCGATCTATTTGAACTCCCTAGTGACGTGCCAACACTCGTGTGCCAGGGACTATCCGGTTCCATCGTGGCTCACGAACTCTGAAGGAACGATGACGCTTGGTTTAAACACAAGACATCTCATGCACCAATTGGAACCACACAATTGCTAATGTTTAGCACTGGAAGCTAGCCATTTTGGCAAAATTATATGGATAGTAACATCAAAGCTCATCAAAGTTACATTCATGACCATTCATGGCTTGAATTTTGATGAATCTTGGAATCTTGGAGACATGTGGGCGACATTTGGACCGTTTTCAGAGATGGTCGGATGCCCCTGAGGAATGTGGCGGTGGTGGGCAATTCGGGCGCCTGAGCCCTGGTCATCCTCGGTTCCTCATCCAGTATCCTTTTTTCTTTTTGGTTGTAGGCTATCCTATGTATCTCTATCTCTATGTAGAATACCGTATATACCGTAACCGTATATATATATAATTATATATATATGCATAATATGTATGTGTGTCAGTATGTATATATATATTTATACATTACACATACATATAAGATACATAAATAAATACATAAATAAATACATAAATAAATACATACATACATACATACATATATACATACATACATACATACATACATATAATTAAATATAAATTATATATAAATAATTATGTATATATATATAAAAGGAAAATTCAAGTATTGGCGCTTCAGGTGGGAAAGTCTCTTCTCATCAACAAGATGCGGCGCTTGAAGCCCGGCGCTGCTGAGTGGGCGCCCACAGGGGTCAAAGAAACCACGCTGCGTCCGGGGGCCCTGGAAGCTGTCACTTGGGGTCAAGGCTTTGGTTGGATGATCAAAACTAATGTTTTTCCACATGTTTCCAGAAATTTGGGGATGAAATGGGATGAAATGGGATGAACATCCATAAATCCCAGAAAAAATAAAGAGTTCATCAGCAACATGCCATGGGTCTTGACCCACCAAATTGAAGGGGAATCATCTCAGGACCCATGATGTACACCTTCCCTGGCATCGACAAAGTGAGACTGTCGGGGCCTATGCTGTGCTTGGGTCCTTTGGTTCCCCTTCCATGGCAGGCCCATGCCTAGGGGGCAGCAACCAGCCCTGAAACCGGTGCCCAAGGTGGGACCTTCCCGGAGCTGGAACCCCCGGCTTCCCAAAGGACCTTTTTGTTTTTTAATGTTTTTTACGAAAACCAGAGACATTTTGGTCTTTTTTGGGGTTGGAACATGCTGCTGGAAACCATCGCCACCTGACAGGAGAACTATTTGCGCGACATGGGCTTGCGGCACTTTGATTCTGTGCTGATCCTCGGCAGAATGTGCAGTGCGGGACTAGAGATCTGCCAGCGGCTGGCGATATGATATGATATCATGATTTATGATGATTTATGCACTTAACACATACATATATGCATCGTTGCGAATATGAATACATAATATGTATATATATATATTATATGTGTACAGTATACATGTGCATGTATCCATACATGCATCGTTAAATAAATGCAAAGTTTTCATCGATGTTTTTATCGATGTTTATCTATTGAGCGCGCATCGATGTTTCCCAGCGACTGAAATGCTATGAATCCAAAAGATTGATGTATGAATAGCTGAATAGCTATCATCATCTACTAATATCAATATTTTATAGCTACCCGATCAATATTAAAATAGCAATGAATGGATGAAATCTATTCATAACTATTATCAACTATATACTAAACATGTTGATTTATTGTTGATTAAACTATAATAGTTGATAAACAGACCATAGGTTCCACTTAAAGAGCCATTTCTTCATGGACACAGCGAGGATTGTGACTGCAAACCGCTTCACCTCGACAGAGGTGATGTTGCGAGAGGAGCTGCTGTGCTGGGGCAACCTATAGACCCCGCCAGGGGTCTGGAAGATGAGATTCCACTAGAAATTAGTGATTTTCAGGGTACCGTGAATTTACCAAGAAGGGTATATATATATATAATTATAGATATCGATCGATTAATGATTTCATATAGATGATAATTCATGGAATGTTGATACTACACAGATCTACACGGGTGACCTGACCAATTCAGAGGGCCAGAGGGCTTGATAAATTTCATGATCCAATGACATCCAATGGACTTTGCCCAGGAACTTGAGAGGTACACAGTGCCGTACTTCATGGTATGGGACCTATGGGACCTATGGGACCTATGGGACCTATGGGACCTATGGGACCCCAGCACTTCAGAGCTGGATCGGATGATCCGATGATCCGGTGGGGCACAGCTGAGGTCAGAACGAAGATTGACCTTGACATTTGGAACAACAAGGAGGACAACAAGCTCGAGGAGGCGGGGCTTGGAACATGTTGGAACCGGATTTCCTGATTTTCCCAGGGTTTTTTTTACCGGCTTTCCCATGTTTTCTGAATGGTGCAGGCACATCCCCCTTACAGTTCCTTTACCATCTGGTTATTTAACATAGCCATGGAAAATCACAATTTTTAATAGGTAAACCATCTATAAATGGGCCATTTTCCATGGCTATGTTAAATAACCAGATGGTAAATATCAACATCCCACACTATTCTGTTGCTGTGGGGATCCCAGTTTGGCCCAAGATCACCTGCGAAGGCAGTGACCCTGAAGAACATTCGGGATGAGCTGGTACAGCATGGAGTGGGGGTCCCTTAGGATGTGGATGGCAGGTCGATGGTGACCAGATGGCCATTTGCCACACAGCAACTGGGGTTGTCTCAGAGTTTGAACCTCAAAATTCTATGGTGTATGATCCGTGGTTCTTCATTTTTGCCATATTTATCCATATTTGATATAAATAATATACATATATTTTGCCTATGACAACTGCCACAACTTTGGGCAAAAGAATGAATTTTGACACCTCCATTTTTTGGACGGATCCGAATGCTCGCAGCCCAGGTGAGCCAGATCTATCTGGTTTCTTCGCGCGAACCTGACCGTCGAAAGCCGAGGTTGAACGCTTTTGGAGAGCCTCAGGTAATCAAAGATGATCAAAGATGGCAGGAAACCAGCATTTTGATGGGAACATTTGGAGAACTATACTAAAACTTTGTCCTTCAACTAATAGAACTGTCAATAGATGTGAATAGACGACGTTCCATTGCCAGATTGCCAATGTGCAAGCCACCAGGCCGCAGCATCATGAAAAAACCGTTGGATCCATGAAAGCAGTCTGGGATTCCTACAAAATGTCACCTGAAAGCCGAAGTGCTTTCACGCATTTAAAAACGCTTTCCCATTCACAGATCTCAATCTAAATATGATCGTGAATAGTGACATATAGTGACTATTCGTCCCAACTTCCAGAAATAGCAAATGTAGATCCAAAAATCCCATCATTTCAGCCGAACAAAAAAACCATCCAATAATTAGTCATCATCCCATGATTTTCAGCTCCAAAATTGGATTTTTCCCTCCCGTTGCGGCCATGGCGAAGCCTCCGACGTTGGACCTTGACCTTGACCTCGAGGTGACCCGTGGCGCATCCTATGACTTGGGGCGGCAGCCGCTGATGCCTACGAGTCCCACGGCCCGGAGCAGCAGCGCCGCTGCACGGAAGAAGCCACGCTTGGATCCACTGGGATGTTTCTGGCCTTTGTGGTCTGAAACTGGGGATGTTGAAGATGTATTCTGTTATTTTTTGTGATACTTTTTTTTTCCCTATTTTTGGTGTTTTTCAACAAGTTGTTTGTCAGTCTGTCATAGTTTTAAGGCCGTATCATTTTGGAAGTGCTATTAGATACCTGGTATCATTACATTTGCTGAACGGAAGAAGGGTTGGTTTTAGTCGGCTCAGCCAGAGCCAGGTCCATGCTCCACCCTCACCCTCATCATCGTGTCATCATCATTGTCTCCATAACCAATATGCCCATAGCATGCCATAGCGATACATGATCACACGCACATATATACATATATATTGTATATTATTGTACATAATATAGACACACACAATATACAGTATAGATCTATACAGTATATGATCATGTACTAGTGTCATTGGTCGTCGTCAGTAGGGCACCGTCGTCATTGTCATTGTCGCCGTCAGTATCGTCGCATTTGCATGACCCACTGCCACATGCGCAACATGTTGCTTTTGACAGTGATCATCACTATACTTATAATCTCTATCTTCATCATCTTGCTCATTTTCCTGTTCACCATCATCTTTATCATCACCGTTAACATCTGGAAGACCTTTGCATCACTGCACCATCCCCGCCTGCACCATGCTCCGAGCACGGCTCCGCAATATCAACAGTGGAGCCGTCAGTCGTGAATGAGCTTCCCTGTCACCGGCATCTATGCCAGCAACTAAACTTCTTTTCACCTTCTTTGCCAGTGTCCGTATCATCCTTGCAGTCTATTATCAACCATGTCATCCTCATCCTCCTTGCCATCGTTGCCATCCTTGCCATCCTTGCCAGCGTTGGTCGGTGTGCTCCGCATCATCCACATCTTTTTCCTCCTCGTCATTATCATCAGCATCGTCATCATCGGTTCCTTATTCATCATCTTCCTCATAATCGTTTCATTGTCATCTTCATTTTATGCTGAACCTCGTTGCCATCCTCATCTTCGTGCCCTGGAATTCTCTTCGAGGATCTGGCATTTATCTTGCAACTGTTAGCTTATACAATCTTATACTGTCACATATACATATTTCATTTATATTCAGTTGTATTCTAATCTCTACTGGTCTAACATTTGGTTAACTCTTGGCCCTCCCTCAAGCTTTTCTCAGGAATGTGTTCCCCTGACCTCTGGTCGTGATAAGGGGATCGACTGGGGCGCCTTGGGTGTGAATGTCGCTGCGGGGCTCATCATGGGGGTCCGAGAGTCGCTGGGTGGCATCGTTTCGGCCTCGTTGCTCTTCTCCTCCTCGACCAACGTGGAGATCTCCTCCATGTTGCAGTTTGGCATCAGCATGACGCTGTACACCATGAGCGTTGGGGTCATTTGGTATGCCGTTTTTGGGCGACTGCAATATGGATATGGCACACAGCAGGACCTCATCTGTATCTTGCAAGCGCAGTTGGCTTCCAAGGCGGCAATGCTTTTGCGGAAAGACGTTGAGAAGATCCCCGCCACCGTCTTCGCCATCATCTGCTTCAGTTCCATGCTGACTGGCCTGGTGAGCATTGTAGTCGGGAAATTGGCCTGGGCCACCTCGATGTTGATGATCCCCAAGCCGGTGGTCAGTGGTTTTTTGGGTGCCATTGGAGTAGTTGTTTTGCAGGCAGCTCTCAAGACATCTTCAGGGGTGCCCTTTCACCATTTCTGGCCAGACATTGGCTTGAGTGCATTTTGTGAGTCCCAGGACCGCTTGCTGCAGGTGGGTTGCATGTTGCTACACTTCATTTGCATCCAAAAAGGCCCTGACCTTTGCCACGTGCTACTGCGCACTGGCAAGTATCCCAATCGCAAAGATGCGGTGAAGAAGTATGCTGGCTTGGTGTGCCAGCTGGCTCCGTTGTTCATCTTTTACAGTGTGGTCTTTGGTGCGGGCCTGCAGATGGAGGATCTTGCAGCTCATGGATGGACTTATCCCAAGAAAGGAAGCAGTGGACCCCTGACCATCTGGACCTCCTACAGTTTTGCTGAAGTGGATTTTGAAGTGGTACGCAAGGTGCTGTTTTCCATGGATATCGTGGCATTAGTGGCCATGGCAATCCTCTGCACCATGCTGGGCGCACTGGCGATCACTGGGAGGTATCCGACGGGACCCAGTGGTGATCCACAGCCCGATGATCCTTTGGATTTCAATGCGGAACTGATTACGGTGGGTGCTGCCTCCCTTTTCTTGGGCTGCACTGGTGGGAATTTGGTCTTTCACAAATTCTCTGTGATCCAGCTGAGGGAGGATGGTGGTACTCACCGGGTGGCTGTGCTGACCATCGCCCTGGTGGCCGGGAACTTGTTTGTCTTCGGGTGTCCCATTGGTGCCTACGTTCCCAAGTGGTTCCTGGGCGGTTTGTTCATGAACACCGGATGGTCCTTCCTGAGGAAGACACTCTTGTCCTATCAGACCTTGACCACTTTCAACTGGAGAGGCTTGCATTTAGTGTCACCCCAATATGGTATTTCAACCTGTTGCGTGGTGATGGCCCTATACTTCAGTCCCACGACTTCCATCATGGCGGGGCTTTGCTTGAGCATCTTGTTGTTTGTCCTCGACGGGATGACTACCTCCCCCCTCAGCAGCGTGGTGGACGGACAGCATGTGGTGAGCCGGACCAAGCGGCCCTGGTGGGAGATGAATGTGCTCGCTGCAGAGGGAGATCGGATACGACTTCTCTACTTGCAGGGCCAGCTTTTCTTCGGATCCATGTTGCAGTTGACCGCCAACTTGGAAGCTGCAGCTGCAGATTCCAGGATCGAGTTTGTGATTTTAAGCTATGGCCGGGTGCCTTTCATAGACCCCTCAGCGGCGGAGAACATCAAGCTGGCACAAGATAAAATGACTAAATTCGGGTGCCACGTGATTCACTGCAGAACCTCGGTGGTGCTTATCAGGTGCTTATAAAATCTTGAAGGATCCAACATTCGTGTAGAAGTATGACTAGATTATAATCAGTTTGATATTGTTTGGTTTTGTTTGGAAAACAGTAATCAGTAATACTATGACTATATATATATAATTATATACACATATTTATTTACACATACCTCCATTCCAACACACGCACACACACACATATATATATAATTATATGTATATATATATATATATTATAATATAATGTTTATATATATATATATGTGCGTGTGTGTGTTGGTGAATTATGTTTTGCCCCACGATTGACGTAGTCTCCCCACGATCTGCTGATTTCACGGAGCTGTTTTTTTTTGGCCCAGGAATGAATGAGCAGGTCTTTGGGACCTTGACTGCAGCTGGTGCGGTCCGACGACCCTCAGAGGACCTGTTGAAGAGGATTGAAACCTTGGGATGGAGGGTTCAAGGAGTAAAACCTGCTGGACTTCCAAGTACCCAGGTTGAACACCCAGATGCATTTTTTCATGAGACGGATTGCTTGGACTATTGCAATGAGTATGTGGTCCAGAACTTCAGCTACGATGTCGCTGTTCCTACCCTACCTCTTGAACCATACATGCGTGAATATCGGGCAGTGATCCGCAACGAGATGCCTCGCTTGTCGGAGAATGCCTTTGAGAGGATGAATGACTTACCCGCAGGGGTCCTGAAGCAACTTCGGCAGTTCTGCGAGGTGCGACTCGATGAGCCTCCGGGCAGGAACCTCTCGGACGAACTGCCCAATATGTCCAGAGCGATGTGTTTCATTTTCAAAGGTGCCCTTTCCTTGGTGAAGATTGTTGCCGGACAGTGCTTTTGATATCTTTTGATTTATGATTTTCAACTCATCAACGTGTTTGGACCATGCACCCGTAAATTTCTTTGAGATTTTCAGAATTTCATCGTTTTTCTGTTTGTGTTTCAGTTTTGAAGCAGGTTCCAATGGTCGAAAAGCCCGACAAGCTCGATACGCACGCGTTCAGCTTCAGACGTGGAAAGCGGCTCTTGTCGAGGTATCCTCCAGGTCATGTGGCGGGCATCGAGATGTTCTTCAAATTTCACAAGCAGCGCATAGATGAAGATCTTCAACCCAAATTGATTCTGGCCATATGTATCCATATGTTTTGTTTGTTTCTTTTCACAAACCAATAAAAATCGCATAATATATATATATATTCATACATGCATTTATGTATAATATAAATATATATATGATGTATATATATAATCATAATAATAACAGTGCCACCACTGCTACTACTACTAATAATGATCATAATATATATATATAAATGTATACTGTATTTAATTATATCCCCATCACACACAATCAACCAATATCTTGATATGTCTCTTTTTTTCAAGCATTTTCAACCTTACAAGGGGGATATTGGGGGTAGTATTTTTCAGGATTGAAGGTTGAAACATGTTTTTCAAGCATCAGGATTGTGTCATCATTGCTGGGGCCTCCGGCGGAGATATGGATTCTGAGATATGATGGTTGGCAGGAGATCCCCGGTTGGAAGCAGATGCCTGACGGCTTGAAAGGATATTTGGCCAGGATGCTGTGTGTGCAGTTCGCTGATACCTTGAAGCATGCCAATCTCAAGGAGCGTTGATGCCGTTGATGTTGATGAAATGCGGCCTTTTGCGATCTCGTGGACATTCCAAGTTTCAATCTAAAAGCGAGAGAAATTTCAATCCCGCCATTTCCCATTAGCTGTTTAGGAGATGAACTCATTGGCCAGAAAAAAATGCCAAGTTCAAGTCGTGGCTGCTGCCAGTCTTGCCTTGACGCGGACCCTCTGGTAATTGAACAGTTTGCTAAGTTTGCTATGGACGATGGCACATTTATATATATAGATGATTAACTAATGATTAACCATGATTTAGAACCATGGTGATGTTCATTGATGTTTCACAGTTCTGTTACGATACCAGAGGCTAATATCTCGATGCGAAGAAGCTGCACCCCGGGGCCCTGAGGCTATGACATGCCAGCACTTTTGGCCGACGCTTTCCCGGGAGTGAGGAACTACTTGGACGCGAGCAGTTTTCTATTCGCTGGAGGTGCGAGCAGCATCTTTGGAGGGAAGGAGCCGATTCCAAAGGCTCCAAGTTGATGTCCAAAAATCATGCACTGATGGATGGTCCCCATGAGCTAAGCCTAAGCTAATAAAAAGATAGATTGTGGCTTAATGGTAGAAGAATATCGAAGAATATCTTAAGTACTCTTAGGATTCTTGGTCAACGTTATCTACAATCGGCTAAGTAATGATTCCCCATTCCAGACATGAGTTTTTTTTTTCTGGTTCCCATTTGAAGGCACAGATGGAGCGACTGAGTCATGGTCCCTCCCTGTGCTGTGGCCAGGGCACCAAGTTTCAGGAAAGATGTCACCGCAAGCAACGGAAAGATGTTAGCAGAGCAATGACATAAAGCAGCTATATATAACTTATGATAACTTGATGGTTTCCCCAGCCATAGAAATTTGGGGATGGTGGATCCGTGTTTGCTTTGTTGAATCAATCCCCAGTGGGAAAGATGGTCAGCACCAAGGTCTTCCATTGTTGCAGGCAGGGTCGAACGCACTGGAAAGGTGGGGATTCTTCAGAGCCATGGCAAGTTGCTAGGTCCTTCTAGGTTTAACCATGTTTAACCTACTATTCCCATGAGATTCCCATTGGATATATACATTATATATATAAATTATATATATATATATAAATTATATTGTGTACATATATATATATCTATATATATATATATCTATATATATATATTATATCTGTGTGTGTGTTCATTAGTATCACACCGCTTTTTGCAAGTACCAGCACTTGCACATCTCTTGATCGCGGCGATGCAATTTCAGGCATTCAGGGCCAATGGCAAGATGCCGTGGAAGATTTGTTGCTCAACCGCAGACAGTCAGGGGATGTTTGATCATTTGAAGGGTCGACTCAAAGAGAGGCTTCTCACCCGAATGTATGGAGTGAAGTCCCATATTTTTGAGGGTGGAAGGGGAGAAAGGCCCTGTCACTTGTCGTATCATTTTCCTCTCTGCCGGTGCCCAGTCTTTACGTTGTGGATGGCACAGACGTGCACATCACACAGCAGTGCGATGGTCGAGCAGCATCCATTGTCCTCACGGAGCAGAGACAGCAGGTGCTCCTGCCGCCAGTGAGGCTTTCTCAAACTGAATCAGACAATCTATTTGAATATGTGTGGGTGCGGGCAGCACGTTTTGCTTGAAGTTTCACGCATCCAAGCATACTTAGAATTGTGTCACAGATGTACACATTTGGTGGGGGATGGTCGAAGCTCAAAGCCTTGTCAAGTAATCACAAAGCTTAATGATGCTTCATGATGCTTCATTTGACAATGACCAGCCCACACCAAGCATCCACAATTTGGATTCCTGCAGTCTTCCACAACAAGCATGCCGCAGCAAGCCTGCTATTTATATCGCAAGCACACACACATGATCACACACACACATAGGATTGATCTAGAGTCTCTAGAGGACCTTGTAAGGAATTATGATTGTGATGACCGTTCATGTCATATTTAGAATCCTTGCCAACTTGCCAACGTTTTTTTTTCTCCCAAATTCGCGAAAGTCGGCGAACGTAATAGTATATGTCGCGAACAATGGCCGTTTGCGGATGAACGAATTTGGGTCAATACCCACGCACGTATATCAACAACAGCTTTTTTTTGCGAACATGTAACGCAGCCTTCGGGTGGAAATGGTTCAAAACGAGGTAAAATTGAAGACTTAGAAAAGATAAAGACCACGCGCTGGGTTGGAAAACGAGGTCAGTGATCAAACCGAGGGCAGGGAATGGAACACTAGGTACCACGGACATGTCACATGGGTCCAGCGACTTTCAGAATAACTTCCGTCGCACATATAAGCTCATATATGTACATCTATAGTATCCATATCCCTATCCATATCCCTATCCATATGTATATATCCCTATCCATATGTATATATCTATATCTATATATATATATATCTATGTCGCGCATATGAGCTCATATATCTATATTTAGTGATTTATATATACATATTTACTTGCCTATGTTCCTTTTATTGGCCGAAGGGATATTGTCCAGGAGACCTCCGTATTTTGTGCTGAGAAAGAAAGGTTTCCAGTATTTGTTCCTGCAAACGAACCCAATGATCTATCTGCAGCTGTAGCCAAAAGCATGTATATATATGTATGTATATCCTATATCTATATGATTTAATGTATCGTACAAATATGTAGTATACAAATATAATGCACGCACACACACACATATATATATATACAATATATATATACATACATTATATATATACATTATATACACATTATATATATATATATGCATTATATATATATGCATTATATATATATACAAAACCATATATATACATTATTTACATATACATACAAATATATACAAATATATATATATAATACATGCACACATATATATATATATATATTATATGCATAATATAATATATATATATATATATTAGAAATGTATTACACTATGTTACAATATATAATGCATTTGGACATGTACATCATGCTTCAAGCCGCAGTTTGCCAGGACGGGGCCTACAAAGACTCGGCCTGCGTCTCAAGCGGGTTTAATGGGGATATCCCAATAGCTGGATGATGCAAGTGGCTACCCGTGAGGGAAGTCTCATTCTCATGGGATACCAATGGATACCATATTCACCAAACCTTCAGCTTAGCTTGAGGCTCCCTGCTCGGACAGGATGGAGGGTCACACCGGTACAGCCAAGGTTTGGCTGCAAAATACATGGTATCTGGACATGCCGTGCGGAGCTAAGGGGCGAAGACCTTTGACGGTGATGGCCATGACTCTAGCAATGGCTGCCCCATAACTTGGACGTGTTTTACTATTTTTTTGGGACCTTTAATAAGAAGAACCAACCATTTTTTTTCCGGGAAATTGTGCACCCCCCAAAAAAAAACATACCCAGATACCCCCATGATATTCCCATTTCTCCATGATTTCTAGGTCCTTCTGGGTCTTCAAAATGGGAACCCCAATTTGGAGCCAATCGCTCTGCCCAGGGCTGTCGGCAAGGCGAGAGAGACGGGAGAGCTTCGATGGATCCCAGCTGTGACCTGGTATCGAGGGGTGAATCGCTGGACCTCATCCCATCGAAAAAGATGGTTCAATCATGTTCAATACAACGACATAACCATCAATGGATTGGTTTAAAGGAAAATTTACAGGAAACCATGGTTTTTACCATTAAATATGGGGTTTTCCTGTAAATTTTCCCCTAAACCAATCCATTGAAACCAATATTAATGGGGATATGATAGGTAATATTATATAATGTAATACTCATGGGGATATGATGGGGATAAGTAATATAATATGCTAATACACTGATGATGTTTTTTTTTTTTTAATGGGTGTATGACATATTAATCCCATCCCCCGTTTAGTCCGTAAACATCCTGCAGAAACCATGGTGGATGATGATGATGATGATGATGATGATGGATGTAGGGGATGAAAGCATATATTTGGGACCACAGAGGGGGTGGATTCATCATGATTCACCCGGTTTTTTGGGGTCATGATCTCCGAGTGACCAATCTGTTTTTTTTTGGGGGGGCGGAATGGGTTGACACATGTTGACACCACAAAAAGGGAAATGAAACTTCGGGCGAGTAATTTTAACACTTATCCCGGCTCATCCCATACAAAGCAAGAAGACGTACCTTCGAGGAATTCTGATGTTGTTTTTCAAGGACATCCAAGACAAGCCGCGTGTGTGGCGGTGGTGTGGCTGAGAGGATGATTTGTCAGTTCCGGGCAGCCACTGTCCATACCATTCCATACCTGTCCATACTTCTTGCTGTCTCCATTTTGTGGAAACTCAAGACTGGTGCATGCGCAGTGGCGGGATTTTTCCTGCGCAGATGCCAATCCCCATGCACAGAAGTTGCATGGCGACTTATCCCAACGGCCAGTTGGCAAACCTCATGGCAGGAAGATTCTCCACTACTATTAAAAAAAACAAAACAGATGACCTGACGGGCCATATCCCAGAGTCATTCGGGTTGCATGTTGCAATCTTAAGCTGCACATATATATATATACAGGGAAGAGGCTTGAGGTTCCCTGGAACGCGATTCCTGTTCATTGTTTGCAATTTTGAACAATGTCATGTTCACTGTGTTTTACGGTGTTTTGTGTTCTTTCCATCACTTGATAAAATATGGAATCAGTTCAACATGCGGACAACATACCTGGGATATGTTGTCCGCCGTTCGATTTTTTTAAAACATGTTTTTCAAGTTCTTCATTTTAAAGTTGCCTTCGTAGAAACCAGTGGAATTGCGGGTTGATTAATTTTTTAGTTTTTTGGAGTAACATAAACATGTCATTATCCATCAGAGAACCATGGGCGAAATGCATGAGGCTTTTTACTCTTCACATCCACAATGCTGTTTTGAAAGTATTTTCAACATTTTCAAGATAACTGAAAATGTCATGCAATCCATGTCAACCAGCTGATACCGTTTGCACCTTGTGGCTTGGCTTAAGGGGCCCTGAGAGCGTTGTTACCTTTTCGCATTGTGACCGATGGATGGGTGAAACATTGCAGCATTGAGTCCGTGCATTTGCCATTGCACTTTGTGTGTTTCATCTGACTCCGATTAGCTGGCACCGGAGCTTGCGTTGTCATGTTCTTCGACGACAACGGCGACCTGGTCGTTGATCAGTCAGATCATGCTCCTTGGCATTTCGACGTTGAACATGACTCGATCCAGGACGATACCTTGTCAGATTCACCAACGAATTCTGTTCAGTGGCGTTGCTTGGTTTGTGATTCAGCGGCTTATGCTTGGTTGAGCAACAGTTGGGTTTGCAATCAATGTGGGTCAAACAAGTTTTATCAGACGAATAATCCTGCAACACGTGAAACAGCTGATGGTGTTTGGACATACATGCCATATGGTTCCCATGTTCCTCCTCCACCTGACGGTCATCAAGCGTCCACCTCTGCCAACCGTCGACGACGACGACGAAAGCATGGAGACTCTGGACCTGGACCGGGCGGTGATGCTTGGAGTGAGCGCGGCGAGGAAGAGACTCCAACGGAAGATCCGTCTGTGATCCCATCATGGCATTCTGACCACCATGGATCAGTTGACCGAGTTGCAAGGACATCACCAACGACTGTGACCAATCAACGGCATGCCCGCAAGATCTCATCATCTGCTGATGACGACTCCACCATCAAGAAGTTGAAGGAAGTCTTGAACAAGGATGACAATGATGAGCCTTGGGATGACAGAAAAGGTCCCTCTAAGGGCATCCGTTGGCGCGGCGGCACTGCACCGTCCCCGCCTCAGTGGAAATATGATGCTACAGACTTGCGTGCATACAATAAGTTCTGCAAGAAGGTTGAAATCTGGATGCTACAGGTTGCACCTTACCTGAGCAAGCGTGAAGCAGCACTCAGCTTGTACAATGCGTTGCAGGGCGAGGCTGAGCAAGAGCTTGAGCACACCCCTGTCAGTAAGATTTACACTGACGATGGTGTTCAGGTGATTCTGCAAGCCTTGAAGGCACCAATGGAGCAGAAGGCCATCTATCAGAAACGTCGCTACCTCAATGACTTTGAGCACATCCGACGATACCAAGGAGAGACTATGCGCTCCTTTGTGAATCGGTTTCGCCGAGTGCAGCGCAGTTTGCGTTCAGTCGGCATCAACATTGAGGCAGCCTATGACAATGAGAGCATGGGTTCACGACTCTTGGATCGCAGTGGCTTGACACATGAGCAGCAGCGTATGATTTTGGTTGCAACATCACAGTCTTTGCTGTTTGAATCTGTGGCTGAAGCACTGACATTGCAGTTTCCAGAGTTTCGTGGCGCTCCTCCAATTTCTGGTGGAAAAGATGGTCAGGGAAAAGGCAAGAACAAGTCTATGGGTAGCACTTCATCATCCAGTATGCCATCCTCATCGACCTCCTCTACTGCCTCCTCTCGGCAGAGCTCTGTTTCGAGCGTGCGTGGAGCTCCAACACGTAGAGCCTTCGTTGCAGCTCACGATGCTGGAGATGATCAACAAGAAGATGATGAGTTCCTCGACACCATTGAGGAAGAATTCGAAGATGATCAGAATGAGCCCAATGACGATCAAGATGATTGTGAAGAAGATGATGGATTTGAAGATGACGGTGAAGGCGCG